TTATCTCAAACCTTTAGCGCTGTGACAACACTTTACACATTTATCCTTTCACAGATAAGCAGATCACAATTTACAATTTAGCATTTTTTCAGCACTGACTCTCAGCATTTGGATGTAAAACATCTGAGAGCCGCAGAGACATTTCCTCTGCAAGGCACTGTGATCACTGCTCTGAACATGGAGCAGATAGCTATATAACGCCCAGCAGCTGTCACTTACTGTGGGTCCCGCTCTGACTCAGATTTTAATTCATATGTACCTACATTTCAGTCCCATTCCCTAGGGAACAGTTAACCCCACCTACAATCTGCCTTAGGCTCGCCTAGTGACTGGACAGTCCAACCCAGACCCCTCTCACTTACAGAAAAGGTCTTCGCAAACCCCTACTATAATTATGGGGGAAACAACGTGTAGCCCCCGCAATGTAGTGTGTGCCTTATTGAGTAACTGCGCATGTACACAAACTTAAATAAGGGTACCTGTGATATAGGGACATTGCCCGGGACACAGCATCATTGGGATTGCGGTCCAAGATGTGGGACTGTCCTGGCAAAAAAACTACAATTGGCATCTATATGAATGGGTGAATATATCCACTTATAGAATATCCACTAATAGAAGTTATATGAGATATATCAGGGCAGTTTAAATGTCCACCATCTACCAAACACAGAAGAAACTGTTTTAAGAAGGCTGACACTTTAATGCCCAACTTCATGATGTTGCTCATCATTCAGCCCTTGAGGCTGATGTCATCTGGGGTTGGTAACCTTATGTGTTCTGGATTAACAGCAAAGGGTCTATGTAAATGATTTTACATGCTGGCAGCTATGCCCTAGCAAACCATCAACACAACAGTTCTTGAGTGGTTAATGAGTTAAACACCTCTAACATTGATTTAGAAAATAGTCGCGTCCTGTGCCTTTCTTTGTTTCTACACCTGCTGATATGTTGTGACTACTTCTGGTCCTGCAACCATCTGTCCTTAAAATGGATTACATTTTATTGGTTCACATAAAATGATTTATTACAGCTGAACACAAACATTCTTAAAGTAGTTTAACCTTCTATGTAAAAGTTTTATAAGGATGGTGAATACATTGGTTTTAAGCACTTTAAACCTTTTCACAGTGGGATGAAAGGGTGACTAATAGTGTTGCGGAGAAGGCAAGTTGGGGTGATGGTTATATTGGAACCCCAGCCATGGAGCCTTGAAGCAGTTGAAGGCTGTTGTGGAGCCCCCGCAGTGAGCCCAGTTACAGATATACATAGATTTATTTCTTGTAAGGTGTTAAAATTAATTTATCAGACATGCTCTTTGCATTGATCATACTTATATTGTTTCTTTAACAAAACAGGTAGAAACTATTGGTGATGCGTACTGTGTGGCAGCTGGGCTTCACCGGAAGAACAAAAGCCATGCCAAGCCTATTGCATTAATGGCTTTAAAGATGATGGAACTCTCAGAAGAAGTTCTCACTCCTGATGGAAGATCCATTAAGGTAATTTACATGTTTCCTGGACTAAAATTAGTAGCCATATTGTCATTATATTTTTTGTATTTCACTTAGTTACTTGTTAGATAGAATAATCATAAAAAGTAATGCTGAGGAGGCACTGTAGACATCAAAGAGCCCCCCAATCAAATCAGTGCGTAGCACAGTAAAGCCGTCTTAGAACAGAAGGTATTCACATGTCTAATTTTATAACAAATCCCAAAAATAAGATAATAGTTCCTCATTCCTCATATGACAGTGGACAGAGTCATGCAAATCATTCCTTTATGTCCCAAACAGCCAGATGCACATCCAGAACTGCTGGTGTAAAGTGCAAATATAACCTAATATTATAGAACTGTTTGTTCCAAACTACATACAGCTGTTTCATTTTTGTTTTCCCCTTATTCTCTTATTTTTGGGATATGTGGTGGAATACCTTGCATGTTAGATCAAAATAATATTCAGAAGGAAATCATTTGTACTAAGTGCAAATTATAAGAGTCACACTCTACTCAATGCACAGAAAGGTGGTTCCATTCACACATCTGGGTGATCCAAATGTGCATCCCGGTAAAAACTTAGATATTAGATTTGGGGCACATGTCTACAATGCTTTTCGTCTAGAAATAAATAATAACCAAGTGTTATATGAGAGGCAGGAGGCATTTCTACCTCTATGTCCTATGACTTTTAGGAGAGAAGGTGAAGTATAATGATGGAGAAAATCCAGTGGTGGATTGGGGAGGTGGTAAATGATGATAAAGGTAGCATCTTGTACAGTATGACAGTTACTTTCACACTTAAAGGCACAAATATACTTCTGTGTAATATTTTGTCCTCCCTAGTGTTGCAACAAGCTCCTCCATCACCCAAGGCCAAGCTACCAATGTGTATCTCCCCTACACACACATGTTTTCCTGAGACTTATATGAGACTTATATGTCCTTTCACATGCACCTCAGCAATCCAAATATCAATATTTATAATATCCAGTTCTAGGCCCACTACAACAAGCCACATAGGCACCTCCCAACCCCATGAAGTCACCTCCTTCTCGTCTCTCATATGACAAAAATATCTGACTACATATTCTATCTTGTGTGCAATTTGCAAGTTTCAATACTGTGAACACAATGCACAACTGTAAATTCTGGCTTACTGTCGTTACCACACACAGATAGTTCCCAAAAGCCAAAGAAATGAAAAAAAATAAATCTATCCAGGTTCAGTGGTAAAATCCCAAGTGGAGAAATGCTGCTACATTCTGCCCATGCCCAGGCCTGTGGAACATAGGACAGAGCTTTTAGTGATACCAGTATATCTATTTATGAGGAGGACTAATGGTTTCAGAGCAATTGAAATGATTAGTGATTTAGTGTCTATTCTGGTTATTGGAGAGGGCAAGCACCAGCTGACTTGGGTAATTGGAGGATTTACGTATATTGTTAAGGCTGCTGCAAATGAGATCAAATTGATGGTGTTTTTCTCCTCAAGTTTTGCACTGTATGAAACAAAACTCTTCAAAATATATGTGTTTTTACAAAAAGAAATGTGAAGGAGTAGAAAGCCTGTTCCCGGCCAGCATGCTGCAGAGACAGACCCTTGAAAACAGTGGTTTCTCTGCAGAGGTAAGACACACCCCCTGCTTAGTCAGACATATGGCTCTGAAGTTAGAGGGCCCCCTGCAGAGAGACCGTACGGAGAGCCAGGATCCTAGTCTGGGATTGAAATTAATTTAGCTGATTTCAACTAAAAGTTACATTGGTCTTTAAAATATGGGATCCCTGTACCTTGGAGGTTACACTCAGTTTTATTCCCTGCAACAACATACTAAGTGCAGACATGGACCCCCGTAAACCTGGCAAGATTTGGATCATAAGGGGTTATAATTTCGACTCAATATGAAGTCAGCAGGCTTCCTGTACGACCATATTGGAATCTAATAGCTTTTTCTATATAAATTTTTTTTATTATTTTCAGCACAAAAACAATAGACGACAGTACATAACATCTCAGTATGCGGTGCGCAGACCGTAGTATTGACAATATAGCAAGCAGTGGTATTAGCTAGATACAGATTGCATTCCCTAAAGAAGGCTGTTACTGATTCCGGAACTATATCCCTGATCAGGTGGTGAATGTGGTATATACCGCAATCCATCATAACATACATATACCTATTAGTAACAGCATGTGTATTTACAATACTTCGTGTAGTTGGGATCGTGTATTAGCAGATTGATTTGTAAGTTGTGTAACCCTAAGGAATGTATGGTAGAAGATACCCAGGGTGTACTTCTAGTACTCATAGAAATATTATTGCTATGAAATATCAAAGGGTGTCAGTAGTCAGACTGCTTTAAGGTTAGCCTGTAACCGGTCCGTGAAAGTTTCAGACAACAGCACTACTGAACACAGACAAGACAAGATTAAGTGGGGTGGACACACAGATACAGAGGGAGGTCATCAGTTAGTCCTAATAGCTTTTTTTTTTTAAATTCAGAATGTCTTATATAATCTTACATCTCTGCTCCGCAATGAAATATGCATCTGATGTACATTACTGTGCAGTTCTATTATTGGGCTGAATTACACTTCACTGATTTTACTTCTCTAAGTCAATAATTGAAATATTCCTCATAGTTAAATGTATAATTCATGGAGGTTATTAAAAGTCAGCCTGCAGTCATCCAAACAGTAGATGGATAGTCCATTGGTTTACAGAATTCCTCTGCAAATGATGGAACTTAATTAGGGGGTATTGAACATTGCTCCAATCCATCATTTGAATTGCATCCGCTGTTAGTAAAGTGTGAGTGCTTGTTTCTTAGATTGAAGAAGGTGAGCCCCTCTACTGGAAATGAAGGTTCAACTAAAGGTTACTGACCGTATAATAGTCTACACGAATACCACATCCAGTTATATGAGCACAAGCCTCATAAAGTATATGGAAAACTTCCTTTGCCTTCCCAGACTGAGCCAAATCTTCCTTAATTTGTGTCCCACATGCTCCCACTCGCAAACACTGCAGCTCACAGTGGGAAGGTTTCAACAATAGAGGAAGTGCTGTCAATCCAGGAGCAGTGGGCAGGACAGGTGCTGAATGACAAGTTACAGACTTGTGAATCAGCAGTGACAATGCACATCCTGCAAGTAACAATCGCCGTGACAATGCACCTCATGTAGTAACAATCAGCAGTGACAATACACCTCCTGCGGTGACAATCAGCAGTGACAATGCACCTCCTGCAGTGACAGCCACACCTGTATTGCAAGCAAGCACGGCCTACATGAGAGTGGCAACTCTGCTCTGAAATCAGGAGCAGTGCAGCATCGTTGTCACCCCATCACAGGAAGCTTCATTAGGAGGACTTAACTGGCAGGACCAACAAATATTTGTGGGACTTTTCAAGAGAGCTAAGAGAAAACGGTAAGTGCAGATAGACTGCAACTTGAGTACTGCAGCACATATTTTAATGAGAGGCCATAGCATCTTCGATAAGTAAGTTTACAAACTTCTAGATGGATCTGGTTATGGAAATTCAATATAGAAATACAGATTATTTTTTTTTAGTTTTTGACCATAGATATCCTTTAAAGCTGAGCTCTAGGTAGATAGAAAATACACAGATTAATGCAGTTCTGTAATCACTACTACATCATTAAAAATCGGTTGGTGCTTGACACATCTATGATAAGGGTTGTGCCTTGAGTGTTTTCTAATATTTTAGCTGCTATGTATGAGAGAATAAGGAAACTCTTCAAGTGGACCTAATATTTAAATTTACACTTATCGTGGATCAACATTCAATAGGTCGCACTCTGGTTCTCTCTTAGCTGCTATACAGTGACCCTGATTAACTAAAAGAGTAGAGCATGCTCACTTTCCAAGTAAATTTCCAATTGTCTTAGTGAATGAGGTGAAACAAGGTGAGAATTCATTTTGCGAAGAATACCCAATCACGTGCAAGGAAAATGGAAAAAAACCAACAAAACAGGATATTATCTTGCATGCAATTAAGCAAATGTTCTCTTTTAGGTCACAGGAGGACATATACTAACGTAGTCCTGGACCCAAACTCAGCATATAGTGAGCTACTGCCCGCTATATGCTAACAGCCCAGAGCCGTACTACAGCCGGGAAGGATTCCAACAATATTGTCGGGAAATTTGGGAACTTACAATGCTGGCATTTAAAAAAGTTCATGTTGCCCTAACTATATGTCATCATTCAAGTGGTTATAAAGTTGCTGAATTTATACATGGACCTAATGTATAAAACAAGGCAATATTGCTTGTGTTGTCCACGGCAAACATTGAGATTTCATCTGTCATTTTGTTGTTTAGGTTAAATCATGGAAGATAGTATAATTCAGTTTTCATATCACACACTCGATATAACTAATCCAAAATGACATCTACAGCAATGTGATGTGCAGTACAATTACACATTTTATTTTATTCAGCAGGTATATTTTATTAATACTGGTTTGATTCATTATAACAAAATGAAGGGAACTATGAAAAAAAACAGTACGAATGGGCTTGGAGTAGGAGGGGTACCCTTAGGGAGGCTGATTAGGAAAACTAAAAACTGTGAGATTCCCAGTATAGAAGGACTGAAGTCAGATTTCAGGATGATCTTGTCACAGATCCCCCGCTGTGCAATAGGAAGCATTTATCTATCTTAAGCTGGCCATGCACTATAATATTTTCTTTGTTTGACCCACAGGCTAAATATAAGAGATTCCTCCATCAACGCTTATGAGCATTGATCGAGGAATCCCCAGATTTCTTTTTCAAAATATGGAGCAATATCCTGATTCAGCAATATAAGTTCTTGTAACCTTGCACTAGAAAATTAATCAGGACAATCCCACTGCACTTTCCCTTCCCACTGAGCTGGCAGGTGACACTGGATACCAAGCTGTGCAGTGTGGTAGAGGTTTGTAAATCACACGACTGGCTACGCAGCCTTTTAAATAATTTCATGGATACTACAGTTCCACATTCTGATTTTGTAGCTCTGTGTATTTTGCTGTTTGTCAGGAGTTGCACTTTTTCTCCACTTGGTCATTTTAGTGTTAACTAAAAGCTGCCACTGATTTTCAGTGAAATATAACTCATATTCTCACAAACACATTGTAATTACAGTATAAGGATTGATTTTTATTTATTTAATTTATTCCTTCAGATTAGCAACATTTTCTAGTCTTTAATTCCTCTCCTGCCCTTGTTGGCAATATGCCAGTGACATTTTCTATAAATGAGAATGTTGGCATGAACGTCTGCTGAAGGGACTGTCATTGTATCATTAACAGAAAGAATATTGCGTATCTCTTCTCTTCTGCAAAAGCCCGCTCATTATTGGCCTCATCGCATTCTGAAGAAAAATGCATCTTGTCTAACAAATGGCAGATGTTTTGTATGAATTCAGAAAAAAAAGTTTTAAATGTCACCTTGAAAACAGTGTTACTAAGCAACTATCTTACACTTTAATGTCCCACTCTTGTCAGGTAGCTAAATGCGAGTACATGCACTTCTTATATAATGTCAAAATATCTTTCATCAGTTAAATCAGAATTTAGAACATTGTTGACCAGGCTAGTGATAGCACTGTAGTTGCCTAACAATTGGAGCATTTATAAACCTGCATTTATATTGTTATAGGAGGTCCAACCCCAGTTTTTTGGGATGGTGGGGCAGGGGACACACAGCTGCCTCCTAGCTCCTTGTGGGAGGGTTGAGAAACAACCACACAAGACCCTCCCTAAGGCTCCCAGCCATTCACCAAAATCCTCCCTAGACAAAACTATAAGTCCTCCCACCTGAGAGCTATGTTTACTGAATGTTCTTAAGATCATGACCAACATTTTTATGACTAATCCTGATGTATGTTTAAATTAATATCCGGTGATGTATTTGTTGCTGTAAACTGTTTAAGCTGAATTCATAGCACATAGATAAGCCTACAGCAGAGGTTACGTATGTGAGGTTGGCGAGTGAATTGTACAGAGAGAGGGGGGAATTTGTGCTGTGTGCAATTTTAGCTTAAGGGGGGTAGATATTTACTGGAAGGGGGGTGTTACATACTACTGACCTCTGCACTGTGCATTACATAATGCTGAGACCTGCACTCTGCATTTCTTATTCCTGACCCCTGTAGTTAACCCTACTTACTACTGACCTCTGCACTCTGCCTTACATACTTCTGATCTCTGCACTCTGCATTCCTTACTTCTCACTCTGCATTATTTACTCCTGAACCCTGCAAGCTACATTACCTACTCTTGACCCCTGCAATATATATTACTTACTATTGTCCTCTACACTCTACATTACATACTAGTGGTCTCTGCATTCTGCATTACTTACTCTTCATCTCTGCACTCAGCATTACTTACTCTTGACCCCTGCGAGCTGCATTTCTTACTCTTGACCCCTGCGAGCTGCATTTCTTACTCTTGACCCCTGCAAGCTCCATTACTTACTCTTGGCCCCTGCAGTATGTGTTACTTACTATTGACCTCCGCACTCTACATTGCATACTACTGATCTCTGTACTCTGCATAACCTAATCTTGATTTTTGCACTCTACATTACTTACTCTTGAACCCTGCAAGCTGTGTTACTTACTTCTGACCCCTGCACTTTGAATTACTTACCACTGACCCCTAAAAAGTGCATTACATACTACTTGCCTCTGAACTCTACGTTACTCCATTCTTATATTACTGACTGCTGATGTCTATATTACTTACTACTTAACTATGCAGTGTAGGTTCCATCCCAGATAGCAAGCAATTGAGCTGCAAGTTTGAAAATGACTTGCTAAAGTATTGCAGACTTGTCAAGCTTCACAATTTGGTTGCACAATTACAGCAAGTCTGCATTGCAAGTCTCCAGATCAACATGCTTTGCAAAAGTTCTGTACGCTTGCAGAGCTCTTGCTAAGACCTACAGGACTCTTGCTGTAGACTTGCCAAGCAAATTTGCTACAAATTCAAAAAGTGTCAACTAGAACTTGTGCTGCAAGTGTTCTCCTTGCTATCTGGGATACTACTGACCTCTGCGTTACTTACTCCTGAATGATGTAATTTGCATTAAATGCTGAACTTTGTATTATTTCTAACTTCTGAACTCTTCGCTATTTATTCCTGACCCCTGCATTTTGCATTATATAGTAATGACCTCTGATTTCTGCATTACCTACTGCTTAACCATGCAGTGGGCGTTACATACTACCGACCACAAAACTATGCACTGTGTGTTACTTCCTACTGACCTCTGTACTCTGCGTTACTACTGACCCACCTTGCTTACTTTTCAATTAATTATGTTATCCCCTTTAAAAAAAAAAAAGAGTGTTGTGCACCCAGGTGATCTTTCATATCTTACATGTTGTTCAGGTAGATCATCTTTAAAACAAAAATACAAGTCTTTGACATAAGAATTTATATATTTTCCTTTTTGACAGATGAGAATAGGAATTCATTCTGGCTCAGTCTTCGCTGGTGTTGTCGGAGTAAGAATGCCACGCTATTGTCTTTTTGGAAACAACGTCACATTGGCCAGCAAGTTTGAATCAGGGAGTCATCCTCGACGTATTAATGTCAGTCCAACAACATACCAGTAAGTATCAGTGTATAGTATGTGTGTCACAATCCCATGGTATCTGATATCTACATATAGCAATAAACATTATATAAATTATTGCCTAATTCAATTCCTTTGATTTAAATTTTAATACAGAAGCCAAAACCAAAAGAATGCATACTGTACATTAAAGCAGAACAATTACATAAATAGTAGGAGGGACTAAACTAAATTCCTCCTTTGTTTTGGGACTGCCTTTAGTAAGTTTTAAAGTAGACCTGAACTTGAAAAGAGAAGATTTGTTATGCTTTAGGGAACATTTAGAAATATCAATTGTAGTACCTAGAAAAAATGTACCCTTTGTATGGAATTCTTCCTGAAGCATAGCATTCCTGGTATGGGAGTGTGCCTTGGCAATCCTGTTATGTATCCTCATAGCTGTATACCCACAGTGTCAGATCTAAGGCACTGCTGTGATATTTTGAGCGAGATTAGGTGATGTCACTACTGTGCTGCTCAATGTTCTTCTTGCTGGGGTCTATGACATGAGCAAGCCGCTACTAAGATGGCCAGGTACACACAGAGACACATTGCAGAACAAAGCATGGTAAGTCAGTAATGCCTTTTTTGGGTTCCTGAGTTCAGTTCCTCTTTAAAGCTTTACTACAGTCAGCCTTTAAAAATATAGGTTGTGTGCATCCCCATCCTATATAATTGTTGGAAATACAACAGCATATACTAATGTACTGTAATTGGACTTTTGAGCTGTACATGGCAGTGTAGTGCAAGGTTAGTCTCTATGTGCACGCTAATCTATCATACACAAGAAGTTTCTTTGTACTTTCTGTTTTCTTCACAATGCTGTATGCATACATGTAATGTTCTTCTAAGCAAGTACAACCTAATTCAGTATTCCTCAAGATCTCAGTGCTTCATCTAAACACATAACCAACAATAATAAGGGTTAAATGCTTGTTTCATTTTGGGGAAAGTGTAAAATAAAAAAAATACTTATATTATTCCACACTCTCCTGACAACCTCTAGTCCTGCATTGTACATAATGGTGCTTGTGAAGGAGCGGCCACTTGACCGGTAAATAGGGGTAGTTTCTGGGGTCCAAGTGTCCATTCTGAAAGTGGTGGGAAAGTAGCCTGCAGGAGCGAGGAATAAGGTAAGTATTCCTCTGCTTTTTTGGGGGTGATGACTGTTTCTTTCCTATGAATTTTTTAGAACCTTTTAAATTGCTCCTAGGAGTTTTTTCTTTTGTGTACACTGCCTACCACATACATCCACTGTAGTGTACACTCACAGCGCATTCATGGCATATGTAAAATGCCCAGACTACCCAGAGAAGATGGTGGCAGGGTACTGAACTGGCTTAAGTTCCAATTTAAAGTGACACTAAACTCAGGAGTTAAATCTTTAAAATACATTAAAGTGCCCTGACTATTAACACAAATTTATCTGTGTGTCACTCGGCTGTAGTACCTCAAATCATCTCTGGGTTGGTGCTGACACTGTCCTTCCTTCTTGAGGGTGGCTTCTTTTTGTTCCATGATCCCTGTGTGTGCTGTAAAGTAGCCACCGCTCCAAGCTCGCTTCCATGATGGACTACAATCTCATGTTTAGTTTACTAATTTGTATTGAAGTTATAGTCCATCACAGTAGTGAGCTTGGAGCGGTGACTACTTTACAACACACACAGGGACCATGGGAAACAAAACTAGCCCCCCTCCAGAAGGAAGGACAGTGTCAGCACAATTCAGAAATGATTTGCACATCTACAGCTGATTCATGCACAAACAAGTTACATTTATGTAAATAGTTGAGGAACTTGTATGTATTTTTAAGATTTAACTTTAGTGTCACTTTAACTATTATGTCTGATTTCATTGAAAACTAACACAGAATAATATTCTGCTGCCGATGGTAGAAACTACATCGATATTTTCAGTAAGTTCATATAGATATATGTATTAGTTTTTGCTTTTAATCTAAAAATGTAGCTTAAATCCAAGTGTGCTTCATTTGACCTCCAGCTTAGCGCTGAAGCAAGTTATTAGTAACAGGATTAAAGAAGAGGTAAAGTGTCTATATTTGGAGGAGAGTATTGGAATGAAGAAGGGTCTATCTCTCTGTTTAGCTTAAGAGCAGAGGTATATACACGGAGAGATAACAGACATTCCTCCAGAGGTTGGCTCAGGTTTGGCGATATGGGATAATTGAATTACCCATTCTAGGGGATCTATCTGGTCTTGTGACTTGAGCAGGGGTTTTAAACCAAGAAAAGCTAAATTTAGCTCATCCCCGTAAAAACTGGTATGATTAAAAATGACTCAAGCAAAATTCCTGATCTTAAGAATAAAGGGCAAACGTGAGGTGAAGGAAAATTGTAAAGCAATGAATAATATGTTAAAGTTAAACTGCAAACAGGTGAATATACAATTTAAATACACATACTGTATGTTTCCTTTTTTGCCTTCCAAAGAATTTCAAATTCTGTACAACAAGACTTGTGATTTACATACATCTGCTACTCTTCACTTTATAAACCACCCATTATGGTTGTAGGTAGTCCTCAACCTTTTCATAACCATTCCAAGGTCATTGCTGCCTAGATGCCCAGGCCAAATTTAGAAGTGTCAGAATTTGTCAGTTTACTGAACATTAATTCTATGACTAAATTGCACACCTAAATCATTTTTACATATTTTTATGACATATAAGGCTTGTATGTAGTATATTTTTTTTAAATACCCTGTTTTTATTAGAGCCTAGCAAATACACAAAAAAATTAATTTTAAACAGATTGCATCATAAATAAACACTGCAGCCAGATTAACAAATCCCTGGCACAAGGGAACATTAATAAACAGATTGGGGATGGGAGGGGGTTATTGAGATAAAAGCTTATAAGATATTGCAAACATACAGTGTTAAAAGAGACCCAAAGTCAGCATATAGTGGGTTACTGCCTACTATAGGCTGACAGCGGATAGCTGCGCTGCAGCCGTGAAAGATCCCGAATATTGTCAGGATCCAACCCACTTACTGATTGACAGCTAGACACCTGCACAACAGAAAAATTTGTTTCCAAACGAAAAACAAATGAAAACTAAAAACGTTTTCATTCGTTTCGTCAAAGGAAACAAATGTTTATGTTGTTTCGGATTCTGAGGCGACAAGTCTCTGAATCCGAAACCGCACACTAAAACTGCAGAACGAGTGGCAGCCATATAAGCTTCCGGCGCGTTCTGCGCATGCGCGGTGCCATTTTGGAGTAGATTTTAGTATACACAAGGATGACGGCGCCCGCATGTTCGAGTGCCGCCATCTTGGTGTATACCAAAATCTACTCCAAAATGGAGGCGGGCATGCGCAGAACGCACCAGCGGCCGATCTGGCTGCCGCTTGTTCAGTGTGTGACGTCACCGTCATGTGACGTTACACGCTCCGCCTCCAAGATGGCGGCGGGCATGTAAAGAACACCACATCGGCCAATATAACTGCTGGCGGGTTCTGAAAACGAATTCATGTATGCCTGAATATCGTTTTAGTATATTCGGGCATATATTAAATTCGTTATTTCAGATTCGGACAAACGGCCAAATCAACAGATTTTCGTTGATTTGAAGGTTCGTCGGAATCCAAATGCACATGTCTATTGACAGCTGGCTCTGCCTCTCTAGACCCAAAGTCAGCTGTGCTCAACCCCTCCCCTGTCTGTCCCTCCAATGAGCACTGGTGGAACAGAGAAAGAGGAGGGAGGAATCCTCTCTGCAGAAAGAGCAATCAGCAGTTTGTGATCACTCAGTTCTTGAGCTATAGACACGGTGTGTGACAGCTGCAGTGTCATACGCTAGCTCAAACTATTGGGAAGAGTATATTTTACTCTCCCAATAGTTCTCCTTTAATTACTCTGTATAAAATGGTAAACCCCATTGCAGCCATGGGTAGGCCAAAAAAACACCATACCCACAGAAAGATTTTGATCCAGTGTGTTTAAAGTTCCAATTTGTGGATGAGGTACCCTATCTTTCCTGCCTGAAAAAATGCACACTAGTTCTAATTGGTTAATTAAGCCAAGGTTTCTCATGAGCTGAAAAAACGTATTCACAACTGGGCGGTGCGAGCCGTGAGATCACCCAGCTGTCATTTGCGTGAAGAACGGTCGGCCCTTTGGCTGACCTTTCTCCACGCTTCAGGTGTCACTATGGCTCAGCTGAGCTGAAGCATATGGGTTCGGCTCGGCTGCCTTCGGCTGCTGTACGGGCTATTGTGAACCGAAGGGCTCCAGCGGCTGAAATGAGCCGAAAGATTAGCTGAAGCTACGGCGGTATCCTTCAGCTCATTAGTGACTAACCCCCTTAGTTCCTGTGCATGGCCATACCTCTTTAGCCTTTTATAACTGAGGAAACATGAACCTGTTAAAAAGGAGCAGATAGAATAAGAGCTTCATCCTATCCTTTACACAGACATAAACTTTGGGATGATGTGGCATTCAAAACTGCATATAAGACACATCACCCACTGCAATGAAAAGCATTCATCATACAAATGCTCCCTATTATAAAAAGAAATCTGTCTTCTTCTTTAGGTCAAGGACTACACATGGAAGGTTTAAAGCTTTGGAGTTGTGTGATCAGAATGATCTATGTTAGCTAATGTCCTTTGATGATAAGATTTTAAATATATGTACAGGGAATGCTCAAATTGAGAAATAACCAAAGCAAAATATTAATCCTAATTGAAAGTAATGCCTTTTAGTGATATAAATGTTCAGCTCAGCTGGATTTTCACTTCATAAAAATTTCAGGACAGTTATCACCCACATCCTACTGATGTGCACATGCTCTCTAGTTCCAGACAATGAACTTGTATCTCCATCATTTTTTGGTTCTACAGGATTGAAGAGATTAAGTGAAGTGCTCTACTAAAACAATCAATTCCTATCAACAGTAAGCAGTAGACTAGAACGCTTGACGCATTTCTAAAACATTTTATTTCTCTTAAACCATGCAATAGCAAAATATAT